TGATTCCTCCTCATGGGTCTCTTCCAAAAACCTAAGCGTTTGACTATGGGACATTTTTGCCTACAACTCAACCCAAATTATTCTTCCCTTTATACACACTGTAGAGTACACGACTGGTCCGCCTTAACCAAGATAACATAAAATGAACAAGATTATAGTTTTAGGGGAAATGGTATAGAAATTACCCACCATGAACATTGGTTCTTAAAATTAATATTTATATTGAATTTGAGCAAATATAGAAGGGAAGAGTGGAAAAGGATTAACTTAAATTTATTAATGCCAAGGGGAAGGAAGGTAACAGTTCCTGACCCTCCAGCTGCATCCACAGTTCGGCCAGGAACAGGCTCTGCCATGAGGCTCGGGCCAGCGCTACAGTCTGTGGTTAATGGAGGTGTCTAGGGAGGGGTGAGCGCACCAGCTGCTCGGCTCCTTTCCTTCCCCAGAAATGAGGAAGTAGTCTGTATTTTAGGAGTTCCCCTGCCCACCCAATCCTCTCAAATTTGGGAGCAATCAGGTACAAGGTTTTGTTTCTTTTTTTCTTCCTTCCACCTCTTGGAGTCCCAGGTCTCCCCACTTCTTCCCTGCCCCTCCCACTTTTCCAAAGTCCAAGGGCCAGAGTGAATGAAAACACGGCAGCCACCCAAGCAATGGGAGTAACGCTGGGGCTTCAGTCATCAGCATCATCACTGGAGTCTGAGTTGGCTGGCATCATAGGATCATCAATGAGTGAGAAGTCCCTTTCTGAGCTATCGTAGCCCTGAGATAAATCATCATCTTCCTCATCGTCATCATCGTCCTCAGGTTGCAGTGGTGGCAACCGCAAGGCAGCGCCAGAGGTGGTAGTAGCTGGTGAAGAAGGGTAGCCAGTGGCTCTCAGGCTTGGATGGTGATGGTGGTGAGGGTGATGAAGCATGGTGCTAGAGTCTACATGAGGGGATGATGCTGCACCACCCATCACAAACGGCATAAAAGGCAAAGATGCAGAAGTAGCACTGCTGTGACCCAGAGATGACACCGACTGCAGGCCACTACTGCTGTGCTGGAAGGTGTTATGCAGAGATAGGGACCCAGTGCCTCCACCTTGCATGAGGGCCATCATCTTCGAAAGGTCTGGTCGCATCCTGCGGGCCCTTTTCTTACTGCTCTCTGGTGCAATAGGCCCAGGCAAAACCCGGTTGAAAACAGTTTCAGCGTGGTGACCCTGAGAGAAGGGAATAAAGGAAGAAAGTAAAAAAGGAAAGAAAAAGGAAAGCTAGCCAAACAAGTCAACAGAGTTCTAGTTTAGACTTTTCAAACCACTTCTTAGGTATTTGAGACTGTTAATGTTTACAGGAACAGATAAGCCTCACCCCCCCCACCCCACCCCCACCCCCATCCTTTGCAGGAAGATTTGTGAGTTTGAATCACTGATCCTGGGGGTTTGCAGCCCAACACATTACCCACTCTGCCATCCTGGCTCCTGAAGGCACAACAAGTATGACCAGACTAGGTGTGAAGGTGGTCATAGGGTGCAGAGCTGGATTCTCAGCTGGTTGAAGCACTCTATTGTTGTGTGATAGTGATCTCAGGTAACAAGGAGTTTTTGCTTTTTCCATGACTATATTGGAACCCTTACTCCAGATCACCATCTTACAAATGCTTGCTGCCTTGGTTAATAAGGGGTTTGGGTAAGAGCACAGAAAAGAATTCACTAAAATGTATACTGTCAACAGTCTGCTTATGTGATCTTGCCATATGAAATTCATCAACACTACACTGGCATCCATAGTCTTAGTCCCCATTGTTATATCAGAGAACTCAGATTATGACTTTCGAATATCGAGAACACTGAAATGACTCACCAAATTTAATATTTTTCATAATGATGAAAGACTTAAGCCAGTTTGTTTTTTTTTAATTGCTTCTTTTAGATCAGCAGTTCTCAATCTGTGGATTGCAACCCCTTTGGGGGTTGAACAACCCTTTCACAGGGGTTGCCCGATTCACAACAGGAGCAAAATTACAGTGATGAAGTAGCCAAGAAAACAATGTTATGGTTGGGGATCACCACCACATGAACTGTATTAAAGGGTCGCGACATTAGGAAGGTTGAGAACCACTGCTTTAGATGTTCTGATGACGAATTCTGGTTAAATTCATGGAACCAAATGGAACCTTTCCCATTATTTTTAGGGCGTGTTTTCTTATTGGCCTAAGCCTAACACTAAAGACACGCATTGAAAGTCAAACAATGGGTAACTGAGTCTCTGGATCCTGTCTTAAACCTAACACTTGACATGAGAATAAGCCATTTTGACCGGGAAAATTTTTCTATATTGACAAGCTTTTAGAATAAAAGTATGAACTATAAAAGCACCTAAGCTTCTGTAGGTCCAAGTAGTAATGCAGTGCTAAATTCAAGTTAACGTTGCATTAAGAATTCTGTATTTGTCATGCTACGAGTTCTTATCATTCTCATCAAAGTAAAATTAGGTAATATTTGAAGAGTACCCTTTTTTTGATGCTAAATTCAAGACAGGGCACCAGCCTTGCCTTCTAGCCATCAGCGTCCCCATCCCAACTTTTTGCTTATTACACAATTGGTTCCATGGAGCCTAAAAGGGGTTTTAGGATTTTTTCAGTGGTAACATATGACAGCTACTTTCATCAACATAACAATAATATATAAGCCTTGTAAACTCACATAGCATATGCAAAATAATTTTATCCTTGGAATTTGTTAAACACAAAAGATAATGTTCATCGGAACTTAGTTTTAAGAGATAATATCATTTGGTTTAAAAAATGATTTAGGTAAAACTATAAAGGAATGATTAAATAATTCAGTATACATAAAGTACTAATCCATCCTAAGTGACTGCCTTACTAAAACCAAACCATAATTCATATACATTTAAAAACATACAACTATATATAACCAACGAAAAGGCAGCTAAGAGAAACTTCTGCACTTCTATTTTGGGAGAAAAAGGAAGCAACTGAGAACCTAATATATACAAAATCGTCTTTAACCATGGTGAAAACATTAACTACATTTGAAATTTATAGAATAAAGAGCTAAATTGTCAGTAGAAATTATAAAATAAGCCTTTTCTTGTTATTTTTACTGGCATGCTATTAGTGCTCAACTCTCAACATGTTGGGAAATCCCATGGCTGTTTTCCTTTTTAGCCCCCCCCCCCCATCAGTCCTAAAATAAATAAGAATCATAAAAATCATACGAGACTAAAATTTTAATTTTGCAGAATGTGAAAACAAAGGTTAAAGAATTGACCCAAAATTTCTTATTCAGGAGAAAAGCTTGGTAAGGCCTAAAGGTTCTTTCCAATATATTTTATATTTTAGTATGATAGCATTAAGTGTATTAAAGTTAGTTTTAAGAATTTTATGTTCTGGAGATGAAGGTACCATAGGGCTGGAAAAACACCAACAAAATACTGAAGTTTTAAAAAAACAAAACAAAAACTTAAGTTTCGTATTTGTGAATTGCTCTCAAAAACATACACTGAAAGATCAATAGTATTAAATTCCACTTATATCTAGGATGAAAAGCCTTGTAATATCATATGAAGGAAGGGAAGCAAGTAGTAATGTTTCACTCACCTTTTTTCCATTCCTAGAGTTAGTTCTCTGTACTGGTTCCATTCCCAAACAGTTCAACTCTGCCTTATTATTTTTTTTACATCTCTGCCATTTCTGTTTTCTGCGATCCTCCATGTACTACAATAGAACAGTGTTAGTTATTCTACAGGAGGCATTAAAAGCTTCTCTAAAGTAATCAAGTTACATGTATATTTTCTTTGGTAAAAAGTGCTTACTCCAAAGGTCCTAGTGGAAAAATGCTAACAAGTGGGTCTTTAAAAAAACAACAACTAGGTGGTTTATTTAATATCTTAATGGTAAATATATACATAGCTTTTAAGAATTGCTTTTAATATTTATTCTGATTCTCACAAGTGTGTGAGGCAGGAAAATGGGGCATTAAACCCTTATTTTGCAGGCGTAGAAACAACAATGTAACATGGCATGCTTTCTTCCTTTTGCACAGCGTAAATACCTAGAGAATGACTGCTGGATGGAACCGCCACTCACCGCTAGAAATCGGGGATCGACAGCAAACTCTGGATGACCCTGTAACCACATCTCCAGTTCAGCCCGGCGAGGGGCATCCTCACCCACCAGCAAAGTACCATCCACCTTATTGATGACAGGGATCCGAGTCTCCAGGTCCACAGCAAGGTGATTAGGCTCTTCCATGCACTCCACCTCCAGCTGCAAACCCAGAATCCACCCCCATGAGCACAGACTCTTCTTTGGGGCAGGGAGGGAGAGGGAGCAGAGTGCCATTGGGAGCTATAAAGTAACTCTGGTATCTTCTAGTCCCTGATCCCAACTGCCTTTATCAATTACTGGGAATAAGAAGAATATCTAATCAGCATGTTAAAAAACTTCCCACTACTCACCTCCACTAGCTTCTTTCTGCTTCCCTTCTTCTTATGAAATAGTGGATGTCCATCTCCCATTACGCCATTAGCCATTAACTTGTGCTTCTGGAATGTTAGCTTCAACCCTTCCTCCTAGAAAGATGCCGCACATACCCACATTCATCATCGTGCGGCACAGGTTTTTAAAGTGCTGAGTAAATCTTGGGCTACTAGTGATCCTCTTGGATCAATGATGGTGAGAAGGAAAGCCACCTGACTTAAGAAGGGTAGAAGTAAGAAATTAATGAGCCTTGCATACATTTTCCTTAGACTTTTTTAACCTAATGCCCCTCAGAGAGATGCAAGAGAAGTAGAATGTACCTCAATAACACCCAATGCAGGGTAAACCACCCCCACATGGTGTCTCAGTATTAGCATGGCAACTCATCACAGGGGCAAATTCTTGATATTGCTGTCATACTACTTTAAGTACATAGCCAGTTAACAGGGCCCAGCAGGCCACAGTCCTGGGGAGGTAAAAGAGGTGGCCTTGTGGGTTAGGCATCAGACTGCTATCTGTAAGGTCAGGGGCTCAAACCCACCAACTGTTCCTTGGAAGCAAGATGAAACTGTCTGATTTAGGGACTCAGAAACCTTATATAGGGTCCCTACGAGTTGGAATCAAACTGATGGCGTGATTTGTTGTGTTTTTTTTACACACAGGTACGTGAGAAGCAAACACAAGTGGGGGCACTTTGGTTCGACCACAGATGTGAATCATTTTGTCCTCTGAATACACTGGGAAGGGGATTACTATAGATGGTTAGATTAAAATTGAACACCTTCCCACCTGTTTTCCCCTTTGACTTGTTGTTCTTCTAGTTGTGAAAGTTTCCATCTTTTTATATAAAATTTTTCAAAAGTAAGACTGATGTGTTTCCAGTAGGAATGACTTTAAAAAAAATTTAATATGGCCCACAATACGTAAATAACATGATTTTTAATAACTTGATTTTAGTTTTTATCCTTCAGTGTTTTTTCAAAACTAATCTCTGCCTATTAAAAAACCTGTGCTCTCCCCTTCACAGTTCCACGGACATTTAAAGGCCACCATGAATTAGAGCTGACTTGATAGCAACTGTTTGGTGAGGTATCATTTGTAAATTTAGCTAGCCAAATTAGTTTGGTATGCTCCATCCTTCCTTCCCAATGCCTAAATGCTGTTCTTACGTCTTTGATCTGCACGGTAAACTCCTTCTCATCCATGCCTCGGCGAAGTTTGGTGAACTGGGCTGCTGCTGTGCTAACTGCAGACGCTTCCTCCTCTGCCATGGAAGCTGCACTGCTACTTCGTGGTGTGGGGACTGGAGAGTCCCCATATTCTCCTGGGGTCACTGAGGGACTGTCTAGCAAGTGGTTGGTTGGCCCCAAGATTCCTCCAGTTGCCATTTCCTGGCTCCGACGACTGGAAGGCCACTTCCCTGAGAGTACAGCCTGGCAGACAAGGTCAATGCGGTTTATCAGGACACGATCCTGGATTGGGAAAGAGAAATAATACTGGTGTTAGGGCCTGAGAACCAGAGATCCTGTAACAAACAATACTGCGAATGTTACCAGTATGGGTAAGATTCCTAAGATAAAAAGGACGGATAATCTAAACTATCAAGTAACTGGGAAGAATTCTATGGAAAAGCATATAGCACTAAGCACCTTGACTACAGAAAACCAGAATTTACTGTTCCTTGGTCCTTCTGTGTACTGTTACATTACATTTCTGGATTCTCAAGTTTCCAGGAATGAGGCTATTACCTTGGGCCACTCAGAGGCTCGTTGTCTTTCCTGAAGCAACAGAAGCTCTGGAGTCATTTGCTCTCCGTCTTCATTTGGGAATCCATCTTGGGACATAGTGAGGGACAAGAGACTCTCTTCATCATAGAGCTTTGTGCGGGGCCGGTCAGCAGCTGGAGATCACACAGAAACGGAACAATGAAGTTAACATAGGAACGGTATTACATGGGTTACGAGTGAAGGCCCCCAAAATAGCGTAACTTTTTGGACATTCTATCAAATCAAAATCTTGGGTCTCAGAGGATGCATTTAAAAAATAAAGGAAAGAGCACAGAAGAGGAAAACAGGTAAGAGGGCCAACTGCTTGTCACATGCACTCACTTAGCTTTGCTTCTTTCTCGTCCTCACTCTCATCAGTGCTGGAGCTGGAGCTGGATGAGGATGAGGAAGAAGAGGATGATGGTGACAGCTTGCTCAAGTCCAGCTCAGAGTCTGAATCATCCTCGTCTTCCAGTTTGACTGGAGGAACACTCCGGGAGACCAGAGGTGTAGTATCAGAGGAGGTTACTCGCATCTCATAGTCTTGTGGGGTTGGCTGGCTCCTGGCCACCACCTCGTGCTCTAGCTTTAAGGTCAGACTCTCCAGACTGGGGACCTGGGCAGCTGTTTCCTCAGGTAGCTTTTCAACAAGAGCATCTTGGCGCAGGGGCAGTGGTGAGGCAGTGCGCGAGGTATATTGCTGCTGCAGCAGTGGAGTAGAGCAGCGTGACAGGGATGGAGCAGGTGCTCCTGCCTGCTGGTTCTGCATATAACTCATACGGGCAGCCAGAAAAGAGAAGTCTGGGTCCTGCATGATGTTGCAGTCTGTTTGGCTCACCCCATGGCGGGCTGCGCCTTGTAGAAGCTCCCCATCATGTCGAATAGGCTCCCACCATTTGGGCAATTCAGGACCTGGAGGCTGACATAAAGACAGCCTGTCTTCCAAAAGAGGATGACACAAAACCTGTTCCCGTAACCGCCGAAGCAATTCAATACGGTAGAGAGTCCGTGAGGCTCTCTCTTCAGTGATGGGCTCAATAAACAGATTAGGATCTGGGGGTTCTGTAAGACACAGAGATGAAAGGAAAAATGAACAAAGAGTTGGTTCTAGTGTTGGTTTTGTTACCATCCGTTCCCAGTCCTAAAATCTCCAAGTCTTGCTTACCATCACCAGCTGCTGGGGGAAGACGGCACACCTGGCGGCACATGGCCACAAAACCATGGAAGTACTTGGTAAGGCTTTCATCTGTTTTTTTATCCAGTCGAGCAAAAGTGCGGAAACGATCCCAATGAAACTGCATGGTGTCAGGGTCATATTCCACACCAAAGGTAGACACAACTCTATAGAAATCAGTTTGTTCACGCCTTGTCCATCTAAAAAGCAAAGAATATTAAATGAAAGCAGTGATCAGGAGACCACAGGATAACGGGCTACTCAGTAGCGTTGCTTGGAATATACATGACCCAAGAATAACAAAATTGAATGTAGACAAAAACAACCCAGAAAAACCTAAGGCACTAAAAAGTAGCAAGTTTAGGAAGAAAATAATACAAATAATGAGAACTACATAGGAGACCTAGCTTCCTAGATATTTTGGTTGTGCACCTTAAGTGAGGTTTTGTCTTAAAGGATAACACTTCGTGGAGCACATCCTGGCCCACCAGGCCTTGAGGAC